TTTCCAGAAACTCACTTCCCATCTCAATGTCAGAACAGCCTGTGGCTGCTCTTTAAACAAAGATTTATCATTTAACAATTTATGGTCACTTCAGAGTGATCCAGTAACATTTTCATTCAGCCAATCCCTCTGCGATCGCTCCTACTAGGATCTGCGTCAAGTGACTCAAAGCAAGGAAAGGCTGGTTACATAAACAGAAGGTAGGTGGCTTAACAACCTTGATCTTATCACAGACTTGTCAGTGAAGAGAACTGCACGTTACTGCCGAGCTAAAGCACATGTCAACGCACTGGAAAACACTCAGATGTTTTCCACACCCCCTGATTTGGGAACGCGTTGCAGAGTTATTTGTTGAGACGGTTCAGCCTTGCTTGCTACTGAAGAGAGAGGAGAGAAAAATGGACAATGAAAATCAAGCCATTACATTGTTCAGACCATTCAGACTCCAAGGGAGGTAAGAATTACAAGTCTGAGATGCTCCATGATCTCAGAACCTGTATACTTCTAGAAGAGAGTGGAAGAGGGGAAAAAAAATCCAAACAAACAAAAAACAAAGAAAAGAAGAGATAAATCTCACCCTTTATATTGACATCTGACCAGAAGAAAAATTATTTTACAAATCTTACATCACCATAGCCCAACACCCAGAGGCTTCCATGCTCTGTTTTGGCATTTGCTCATTCTTCAGCCTGGAGTAAGCTTTCTAGCATGCTGCTCTAGTTTTCCAGGATACATGTTAAAAAAAAAAAATTCTTAAGAAGCCACATTTAGCCTCTCTCAGATCCGTGCCTGTGCAATTTACAGGAGTAACAGGTTAGTTTGACCCAGCTATAAATGAGAAAGATACATCACAGCTGGACATCTTAACCAGCCTAGAAGCCTTTGACAAGCTTCTCCAGTGTTTTGAAACACAATCTATGATTTTCAACTGCGTTTCTACCTTTTTTCTCCTAACAGTGTAAGAGAAAACATTGTGCCTGCTCATCCTGCTACTATGCATTGGAGGGCCTCCCTTGCTTCCTTGTTCCAATCTGAGAAGATATTGTCTCCCTTTCAGCAAAGCTATTTCCAGAGCCTATTTACTGCTTCATTCAAGTCTAGACTTTCTAATTTTGCAGCGTAAGCTGTAGTTCAGTCACCCATGAAACTGCTGAACAGCCTGCAATTGTGTGCAAACCCGCACCGCGGCTTGTGCTGTCTGAGCTCAGGTACAGTCATTACCGATGGCACCCAGCACTTCAATGGGAAGCTCGTTAAACTTGCCAGGAGCATTTGCCAGAAAAATACAACTCTTCCCCCCTCTTTCCTCCCACTTAAACAGTTTAATTAATATCATCATACTATTTTTGACTTCAGGAAGTGACAAAAGCAGGGATGAGACAGATATGGCATATGAAGTGATCAGCTGGAAAGGAACCCTTGCTTCCCTCCATCCATTCACTGGCCCTGCACAGTATGGGGCCACGCTCCCGCTCTATTCCCCAGGCTCGGCCAGTGCAAGGGATCCAATGCCCAGTGGAAGATCTTCCAGAGGAAGAGGAGACAAGAACAGAGGATGCGTCCACTGACAAAAGCATGTTTGGTCTGCTCCAGAGGGGAGGTGGATGGCTTCCCCTCAGAGGTCTCAGCCACCCACAGCTTGGGCAGCAGCACATGAGAGGAGAGGGGGAGAACGGGGAGGGTGAACTCCTGCCTTCAGCCATGAGAGCTCTTGCATCAGCTCACACCAGCTCGTGACAGCAAGACCTAAGGAAGGAACAGCTGCTGAGTCAGGCACAGCGTGTGGCCTTCCGCACAAGCACAGGGGAAAGGCCTGCCCTGGGGTCATGACCGAGGCAATGCCCCAGGGAGACTAAAGTGACCCAGAAGTAACAGCCTCCACACCCTCGAGATCATCAGATTTGCTTTCTCCCATGACTTTCACATGTGCTGAGTGTACTTTGTCCTGCATGAGTTGCGACCAGAGCTATTTGCAGTACAAGCAGCACACCTCGCCAGCTGAGTCCACAGACACCAGCTGAGGCGTTACTCAGGGGCACATGTCCCTGCTTAGGGCTCCCCCTCCCTCTTGGCCTGTGTGAAGCAAACTCCTTGCAGATCCAGCCACAGGGCTTTCCACTCCAATGGGCAAATTCAAACCTCTTCATCTCCAGCTGGGCAGCAGGCTACAGTGCCATGTACCCAACCGTGCTGAGCCAGCTGGTGCAGGATGCCTGTCCTTCCTCCCTGGACACGCATGCAGCAGCAAATACTGGGACAAAAGACACACTTTATCCCTGCTTCCTCTTAAACAACCTGTCTTCTTCCAGCCCTGCACTCTACACTCTTTTCTTCATTTAACTGCTGGGCAGGCCATACATACAAACATTGCAGCCAGAGTGCTCCCTTAGCACCCCTCCACCATTTCTCTCTCCAGGAGATTTTGCCTCCACTCCCAGCGCTCTCCTCCAACAAGCTGCGGCCCATTTCTCCAGAAAACTGCTCAGCAAACATAACAGGGGACCTAACCAGCATATCACAGCAAACAGCTCCAGCTCTGTGCATCAGCTGACTGCTGAGCGTGGCATATTGGGAGCCACTTTGCCCTCATGGGGAGAGCTTCCTGAGGAACTTGCTGCTGCCTTGCCACACAAGATGTGTGCCAGCTGCTCAGGGGCACAGGAACCCATTGAAGGTTGGGTACCAGGTGGGAAACTGCTTCTGGAAGGTGGCAGAAGCTCACACCGCTCCACATCAGCATGAAACAAAAGCTTTTCAAAGCTCTGTGTGTGTGTGTGTGTTCAGTGGAAGAGGATTAACTGCCTTTCATTCTCCTAGATGATGCAGTGACCAGCAACACACGGGAGGACAAAGTCCCCGGTTCACTTCTCGTCTGCAGCAAGCACCATCACCTGCGCCAAGCCTGTCTCTTCCTGCAGGTTCACTAGAAGTTCCAACTGAGATACCTTTTCCAACAAAACCACAGCAGCTGCAGGAAACCTCTCCAGTTTAACAAATCAACATCCAAAAGTGGTTTATTTAGACAAGTCTGGAGCAGCTCTGGGCAAGAGGCTGTACTTGGAGGCCACAAGAAGCTCTCTCACTACAACACTGAGGAAAGCCCGCAGAGGAGCACAGGCTGCTTGGGCTCAGGGCTGTCCCTCCACAGAAGGTGAGGCTTGTCCCGGGCTCACTCTGCACTTTAGGGCTGACAGGTAGGAAAACAGTGTTAGGCTATTAAGAATAGCATGGTTTGAATGGTGAGGGCAGCTCAACCTTGGCAGCTCTGTATTTTAAAGACAGCACTTCCCACTCCCAAAGCATCCAGGACTGTTATTTACCATTTCCCTTAGGCAGGCCATAAATCCAAGCACAACTAGCAAGCTCAACACAGTGTAAAAGGATCCCTGTGGCAAGCTAATTACCTTTGCAGGCTATGAAAGCCTAATACAGTTTACTTCTGTACAGCAGCTTTGAAAACTTTGGCTAATGACTGTGTTTAGCAGATCAAACTTTCCACTTCCTATTGTTCTGCTCAGGGCAGCCAGCCAGGAATTCAGGGGCAACAAACCTCCAGGGGAAGAAATCAAGGCCATGAAGCGAAAAGGAAGAGGGGCTATGAAACAGAAGATGACTCTACAAAGGAATGCAATGGCATGCTACAGATTGTAGCAGAAAGGAAAAGACAGTAAATCTAAACTGAGAGAAAGCCTAACAGATTATGAGAACTAAAATCAAAACCAACAACAACAAAACAAACAAACAAACCCTGTTCCTCCCATTCTCTTATGACTTTAGAGATTAATCCTCTCCCACGACTCTACACCAAGATGATGACTTTTCTGTTGTTGTTTACATGAAAATATTTAATACAGAAAAATCTACTCCCCTCCCCAGCCAGAAGGTCAGAAGATTTACCAGAGGTGCAGGTGCTGTATCTCACACATTTTCTCACTTCCACAGAAGTACACTGATGTTCAGGCTGCAGCTAATTTTACATAGATCTCTCCTAACACCTACTAGCTCTATTTGTGCTTTGCCCATCCAGACATCCGCCCATTCGCAATGGACACAGACATACAGTGGTTATAGCAAACACTTGGGGGGAATCAGGCTGAAATCCTTGCTCTGGACCAAGCAGAGCATGAACTCACCAGGATCTCCCACTTGCTGAATTAAAGCCTTGGCTGGCAAGCTATTGTCTGATCTAAGGTGACACATACACTCTCTCACTCTGATCTCAGAATGTCCACAATGGAACTTTACTTAGATGGCATTTCCCCACAAAAGTCTTCAGTTACAATGACTCTCTTAAAAGTAAAAAAAAACCCCAAACACACCAACCATGAAAAACTAGCATGCTACATTGCACTGGGAAAAATCCCAACAAGCCTGATTTCCAGGTGAATGTCATACTGGTAATGGCTGAGGCCCCCTCCCATGTGAACCACACAGGTTAAACCACTTCCCAGTAAAAGTGTAATGTCTTCAGTGGTAGTCTTGTGAAACAGACAAAAAGAATAACAAAAAAAAAAAATCTTGATAAAAAGACTTCAGGCTCGTCTAACATATTTTTGCTGTACTCTACAATCCTGAGGCAGGGACATTGGATCTCTGCTGTGAGTAACAGAGGAATTTCTGAAAAAGTGCCAGATTATGTACCACTAGAGACAGCAAAATCGGGGAGTCTCCTACTGAGCTCAAAACTGCAAAGTGAAATCCACTCCCATTACACATTATGGCTATGACACAGATGACTTCTAGGTTTAAATAACAAAAAGCAAACCCAAAACACCTTACAACTCTTTTAAAATAAGCTCCCAAACAGCTTCACAGACTGCTCTGTAGCAACCTAAAGAGACAGCTGCAAAATCCCTACCTCCTTACCAAAGCTCAGGCTAAAGCTTTTTCAGTCTGTCTGATTCTGATTTGACCTGTTTGGATGAAAGCAGAAAACCAGAGAACAGGAAACCACATACTCAATAAAGACACATCTGAATGGGTGATGAAGACATACTCACGCAGTGCGTACAGGGAGAGGACTATTCCAGCCAGGCAAAACCCCTCAAAAAACCTGAGTGTGCTGAACATGGTCACGTTCACTGAGAGTGCCACAGTCAGTCCAAATATCAAAATGAATATGACAGAGAAGAGCAGTACAGGCCTTCGACCAACCCTAAAAATAAGAAAGTAGGGAGAAACTATGTTAAAAACCAAATGGACATAATGCTAGATGGACATAAAAACTAGCAAAGAGAGGAATCATGGAATGGCCTGGGTTGAAAAGGACCTTAAAGATCATCTAGTTTCAACCCCCCTGCTCTCGGCAGGGTTGCCAACCACTAGAGCAGGCAGAGGAACAAGTCGTGCAATCCATTCCAAATACTACCATCCATTTTTAATGCTAGTTTCAGTAATCTCATTTTTTTCTGCTTACTAAAACACAGATTCCTCCATCAGCTTTGCATCAACAAGTTCATTTCCAACAGGATTAAGTGAGCACAGCACATGATGTATTACCGCTTGATTTAAAGATCATTTTCAAATCATCAAAGGTGAACAAGGAAACATTTAGGAACTACAGTAAGGCCATAAACAAATACCCTGGAGATTAAAAACAACTTCTGAGAGCTTTCTGTAGTACCGCAGTAGAGTATATGGTATTAAATGTTATATATAGCATGGTATATCATTATTTCTCCATAGTATACAGCCACAGAGCTTACTGCAGAGCTCTCTTCTTACAAACAGATGTGTTTCCCAGCTTCATCTGCAAGAGAAGCAGGCTCAAAAAACTACTTTTCTTCACCTCATTGTTGAGGGCAAGCCTAACAAACACAGAACAAGCATTAAACAGGGCTCGCATTGCTTCTGTGAGCTGTAGAGAGCTGATAGTAGTGCTCTCTCCCAGGAGAACAGTGAAATTCCAAGTCCCTTCACCTCGCATCCCCACAGCGGCTGCTGAGATCAGCAAAACCAGCCTGACTGGAGGACTAGGAAGAAACTGCTCCAAAAATGTTACTGGCAATGGGGACATTAGGATTTGCAGTCCTCCCTTGGAGGCAGGCTTTGCACCTGCAGCCTGCAGTTGCACGTGTTGGTGCAGTGCCTACAAGCGGGAAGAGCTATGCTGCCACTGAACGTGGGGGCACTTGCTGCAGAGTTTGGCTCTTTTACGTCAGAGGAGTAGGAGATTTTTACATCTCTTATTCATATGCTTAGTGTTTATAATTCCCCTTTCCTTATCTCTTCCTGTGCAAGGAGAATGATACAAAGTGCTAGAGCACACGGTTATTTTTAAGAGAGAATTGGATCTCTTTGCGGAGATATCCAACATTTTTCAACTCAACAACTCCTACAAGTTTTCCAGTGGAACTGAGGATCCCTTTTAGTCAGGTCCATATGCCATTTTCACAAAGAATATCTGAACTTGCTTTTTGTAGGCAGATTTCACAGACCCATTTAAAGTAGTCTGTCAGCCTGCAAGCCAGCCATCAGGTTGAATGTCAGCACAATAAAGAGCATTTAAATCTCACAACTTAGCCCAGTTCTACAGACTGAGGCATTTCTATTCAATTATTTCAGCAGACTGTTGACAACAGCTATAAAGTATACTGTATATATGCATTCACAATTAAAACTTTGGATTTTGCTTTACTTGAAGAGTGGTGGGAACACAACATCACTGCCTCAGTGACATGCAATGCACTGGGAACATCCCGGACACTGGGGCAGTTGCTGCTTTACATCCTCCAGATTTTATATTTATGGAACACAAAGCACTTTGGCAGGGAGAGGAAGTGCCTCATACAAAACCTTGAATACAGAAAAAAAACCTATGAACTTTGTGTTATCAGCGATCTGCGCAGACTTTCGCAGCCCTATTTTCGCAATCGCCAACCTGTAATTCATACTAATTAGTATTTGTAGAAGTGTTTTGTAGATGAAAGGCATTATGTAAACACTCAGAATTAGGAACTTAATTCTCATCACAAGCCTGATGTGCCATTCCCTGATGTGGATTAAAAAAGACCTCATGCTTAGCATACATCAGTTCCCTTCTTCCCTTTCCCCCACTCTCTGTACTAAAAGTTATCCATCATTAGGACGTAGAATTTCTTCTGCCATTATAGAAGTTACACAAATGAATGATTGCTGCTAATTAAGAACCAGGACGTCCAAAATGCTTGAGCCCGTGAAAGCCTACTGAAGCCAGACAAACCCTCTGGTAAGGGGCATCATCAGCACCTCACAGAATCACAGAATGTTAGAGATTGGAAGGGACCTCGAAAGATCATCTAGTCCAATCCCCCTGCCGGAGCAGGAACACCTAGATCAGATCACACAGGAACGCATCCAGGCGGGCTTTGAATGTCTCCAGAGAAGGAGACTCCACAACCTCTCTGGGCAGCCTGACTCTACTCTTTCCTTCCAACCTCTATATTGCCATGGATGAGATAACATCTTTGACAGTGTGCTTTCTGATGAAAAGCCACTGACTTCTGTTGATTTTCCACTTTCTGGATTCAACAGTATTGGTCATATGGACACGATGCTACAAGCGAGACATCACATAGGTCACTATAAAGAAGGAGAGGAGTTAATACAGAATGTTTTTCATGTTATATTCCTGCTATTTTCGGGAAAGGAAAAATCTAACTTGTCCAGTTGTCGGTTACAGTATGAAATATCTAAGGTAATGAGGAGTCTGCATATAATCACTTTTGTGATGTGTGGCTTTCTTGTGTGTTAATGTTTATATTGAATTAAAATAAATATTGATGGAAATTGTCTTGTATGACTAAGTATTCAAATAGAGAAATGCCAGTTAAGATTGCAGTGGGGGTAGACAAAAACCCAAACCCTTTTCTTCAGTACCTCCTCCCAGAGACAAAACTAGTCTCCTTCCTCACCAAGGCATGCAGCACATCCCTCAAAAAATCAAAACTCCAGGGCAGCTATCAGCCATATATTTGGCGATTCAGCAGTGTTTTGACATGATGGTGTCTTAGAACACAAAAAAAGCCTTTTATGTGGTGACAGAATTATCTAACAGTATATGGAAATGATTGTCAGAAATTAAACCAGACACAACCTTCCTGATAAAACAGTGCAGGATGCTATCTGCTGCCATCCAGACTACTCCAGAGAGAAATTTCTGTGCCACGGAAGTCTCAGCCTACACTGCATACTATTATCTAGATCAAATGCTAAGTGCTGCCTGCACAGGTAAATAACTAGGGATACAAGCAACCCTAGGCTTTTGAGGAATCTGCAATCTGCACAGTGTGATGTGCAGAAGCATCAGATAGTTACTCCTAATGTCATCAGTGTTGCACCACAGGGGGAAAGCAAATGGGTTTGAGGATAAGACCCACTTTTCCCATGCTCCTATGCATGTACCTTGCCATCCTGAGAAGACTAAGCTTTGCTCTTGCTGCTGGTTACATTGCTCTTCCCATGCCACTCTTTGCAGGTTTTGGGACTTGAACGGACACAAAGGCTCTATAAAGCACCACAGCAGCTGTAAAGCAGGGGCAGTACTGGGCAACAAGAGGCAAAGACCTCAATGCTACACAAACACCAAGCCCACCCTACTCCAGAAGGAAACCTTCCACAGAGACCTCAACAGCCTGTGTCCAGAGCAGGCAGAACCGCCAGCAATGCTCTGCCTGTTGAGCAAGTGACTTATTCAGGCATCGGACACAGCTGGTCTTCATGCAGCCAAACAAGTTTACAGACCTTCTTCCTACAGATTTTCCACATGGAGCTATCCAAGCGTGCACACCTACTGTGTTTTGAACGTGGACCACTCAGCACTTAGCACATGACCTTAATACGCTCTACGCCTCTGCCACGTACAGCATTAAAAACTTTCTTTCAAAAGGAAAAGAAAAGCCTCAAACTCATGGTATAAAAACCCGAAGTATCTCCTAATTATCTAAACTGGACAGTGGTATATAAGTGAAATGAAAACGGATTTTGAAAGTTTGTAACACTTTTATACATTACAGTATTAATCACCCCTGCTCTTGCTTGGGACTGACATCCTTTTTTAATTCTTTTTTTACAGGTATCTGTCTGTAATCTTTCTCTCCACACAGCCCACTGCCTTGGTGGAAACTCACATTGTGATTAAATAGCTAAGTAAATCCCATTTAAACCTTCTTTTACCAACCCTAAATACTACTGCTAAATGACAAAAAGCCTATCCAGCGCAGGACCCCTGCTGTGTCAGTTACATCAGATGGAAAGGATGAGGACTGAAGAGGAGCATGAGGACCAGCTTTGGTGGCAGCAAACCTTGTCCTTTCAGGTCTCCCACAAAAGGGCAAGGGGCTCACTTGTCCCTCCAGCCACCAAGTTACCCTTTTTCTCCTTTGCACCACAGCTGGAAACCAGATTCTCCTTAAGCTCTCTTAAACTCACTAAAAAGAACCCCAAAAGCAAACCTAATTTTTATATCAGGGTAATTTTATGCTGCATTAGCTCAGCTAAGCATCTTGCAGAGGGATCCAGAGAGCGCACGTGGCAGCACAAAGTACACACTGGGGACAGAAATGGATGAAAGAGCAGGATTCTCCTTCTTTTGGTGGCAGAGAGCTATTAACTCTGCTTATTGCATTCCTCTCCTGAAGCCAGTGCCTTTGGCAACAAGTTGTTCACTTATTTGTGACTTATTTGTCAATTATAGCATCATTTCCCTAACTTGGGAACAAGCCTACTTTCTCCATACTGATTCCTTTTTAGGAAAACCAAGAAAGATCCCTCATTCATCTCCCCACTATCCTTTGTACATATTGTTAGAGCCCTGTCTTACTTTGGTATTTTAATAAAATTCAATTGTATTTCATCATGCACGTTCCCTGCTTCACTAAAAATCATGACTCCTCACTTGCCTAAAAACTTTTAGTGACTATTCCAGAATTAAGATGCAATTTTGCTACAAATGCTTGAGCCAAACTACTGCACAGCTGCGGGGAGCCTTTTCTCTCCCAACTGACTGGTGAGTTGCAAAGGCTTTGTAAGATTTCCCTATTAGGCTGCTCTTCTTCCTTTCCTGTTTTAATTAACGGCAAAAGAGTTAACTTGAGGCCATTTAAAGCACCAACATTGGCAACTGTGCTGGAAGCCACTGAAGTGACTGGGACAGCATTGCAGAGCTATTGTTTCAGATGCTGCAAGTTTCCACTGAAATCACTTGAGTCATGCCTTTAATTTCTTTGTTCCCCCCCTAACTTTTGCACTGCGAGACCCTTTCTTTAAATAAAAGCTGAACTCTCAAAATAACTGGGGTATCCAATAATATTTTCACTACTACAGTTTAAGGAATTGCACTCTATGCTCTTAAATATCCCCATATTAGCAACACCTAAGTCAGCAATTCCTCAACACTACATTGAAATGCTTGCTTAACAAGAACTTTTAAAAATAGAACAATGGTAAGGTTTGCAAAAACAGCTTTCTACCCCCAGAAAGATACTATGTAAGCACAAAGCTGTCATTACACTAGTCTTGTATTCAGTCAAATCAATGCCACTTCCAATTTCTTTTGGCTCCATCTCATGTTAAAAAAAAAAAAAAAAAAAAAAAGAAAACCCTAAACCAAAGGCTTCACTTACATAATTAGAAAATACTTAATTCTTTACTAGCATTACAGGTGTAATAAATTGTGTAAAAAGCAGGAAATAACTAAGTCAACTACCAAATAGTTTATTTTCATATTATTTACCCTGGTATAAATTTCTCCGTTCAAGCAATTAACACACAGTTTTAACTGTTTATTCATCACGTTTCTTTCAGAACCTGAAAAATCATTATGCAAAGGTTCTTCATGAATATAAAGTGGAAGAAGATCAAGACAATATTTAATATTTTATTGCTCTTTATTTTTAATTACTTTGCATTAAAAATTTTTCACTTACCAGTCAGCTATGCATCCTGTTATTAAGTGGCCAAAGATTAATCCTACCAGTAGGGAGAATTTAGCAATGTGGACTTTCCAGGCAGAATCACAAACAAGATCCCACTGGAAGAAAAAAAAAAAAAAAAAGACAGACACACTGAAATAAGTTACTTATTCTCAGATGCACTTAAACATACAAATGCTGGTGTAGAGCTTCTTCCAAATTTCAGTCCCAGCGTAAGTGCATGGAAATGGCAGAGGAAAGCTTTCCCCCTCAAGTCAAAATCTGTATCCCAAGAAGCAAATTAAGACTTGTTTACTTCAGTGAGTTTTATCGGGAACTTAATTATAAAATGACAATATCCAACGCTTATGTCTCCCCCTCTCCAGGCTGCATGAGTTTAGACTTTGGCAGTACGGATGCAGCTGAGTGCCTCACCCTAGTAGCCCCAGACACCTCCTACCAGAGCCCCGTAAAGCCCACCAGCAGCAAGCCCAACAATTGAAGAGCAAACTCTCCTGTTGACCTCCTCAGATCTGCTGGGAAGCACAGGGAAAAGCAGATGCTTTGCCGCAGACCCCTGATGGCCATTACCTCCAAGCTCCCATGGACAAAGCATCAAGACACTTTCATTTTCAGAAAAGCATCCTGGTTCCCCAGGCAAGGGAAGGGGATGAAGACTAGCAGCATGACTCGTCAGGCTGGATCTGAAAAGCCAGGTCCTGGCATGGAGCCAGACAGGGCAGCCAGAGAGCCCAGCACGGCCACACAACTCCTTGGCACAGCAGCTCCCACAGCGATATTTCACAGCTCAGAGATCAAACGTGGGCTGAACCTCCACACTAAAGCTACCCCCAATACCGAAGTTACCCTTTCTGTCCAAAGAAAGAGAAAATGGACCGTTTCAGGTACCACACCATTAAGGCACGGCCTTATTCCCATGAGAAAGATGGGAGCAGCAAGGTTTTTAGCAAAGCTTCCCTAAACTCCAAGGCATTTTCCTCTGAGACATTAGACTGACCCTCAGGAGAGCCAGGCTGCATTTGTGGCTTTAGCCCAACATCCTCATTGCCCTCAGACATGTAACCTAATCTCCCTTATGTGTAAAGCGTGGATAGTACTATTATACCCTTGAATAAATGTAGGAAGATAAGTTTGTTCGTGGTTTGTGAAGTGTCAAATATTGATGGTAATGGGAGCTATGCACACTTCATAAAAAATAAGTACAGCTAACTTTGGGGAGTCAGATACTTCAGAACTGAAACCTTGCAGAATAAGTGGCAGTTCGTGTGTAATGGAATAGTAGCAGCCCTCCTGACATAAGTAACTGAAGCTTCATGGCCAAAAATGCAAAGTAAAAGTATGCAATTATTTTTAAAAGTCTGAAGCAACTTCAAAAGAAAGCTTCCCTCAAAAGAGTTCAGTTAGGAGCGTGGCAATTTTAAGCATTTCCATGACACACAGCCTTTCCACAAATAAGGATAGCTCTGGCTCAGCCCTCTGGTCCAACATCACAGGAGACAATACACCCTACAATACACCATCTCACCAAGAAGTATAGCACTTTCGTGACCAAAAGAAATATGCCAGCTCTCAGGATCAGGCTTTTTTGTTTTAGTAAATGTATTTTTGAGTTCCTCACTGTACTGACTGGTCAAAGTTGGGACGTGTATGTCTGATCCTCTGACCTACAGACTGAAGGCACTAAGGAACCAAAAGCAAGTAGTATGAACAAGTATTTTTTTCCACCAAATAGTTATGACCTATGTGCAGCAAACATCTCTTGAGCAAGGCAGTGAGAATGGTTCTCCAAAGATGTTAGCTTCTTAGAAGTATTTAGCAAGTGGGGAAGTGCAATTCCTAATATTTACAATTATAGAACCAGTTACCAGTTAGCAAAGCAATATAATTGCCTAGACAAGCTGCAAACAAAACAGAATTCAGGAGGTACATGTGAGTTCCAGGCAGACTTTCAAATGCTCCGTGTTTATTTTCACAATCCAGAAGGTGTATATGCTGCTTAAAAATGAGAAATCATTTTTGTTTGTAATTAAATGCATTAAAATAGTCATATTCATACAGGAACACTTGTTTAAAGGCAATCTCTACAAGATGTTAATTTTTAATTTTATTGCTATCAGAGGAACAGAAATGTCATCCAAGTGCAAAAGGAAAAAGCAGATATCCTGGTGCCTTTTCATTTTCACAGCTCAGTTAGTCAAAGATAGCCAGCCCTTGCACGAGCCCCAGGCAGAGAACGCGCAGTACCAGGTTACATGTAAGTAAAAGTTCATGGTTGGAGGAGCCAAAATCTCACGAAGGGCTGTCATGAAATTTCAGGCCAGGACAACAGATGTCAAATCACTTTGGCACACTGGCACACAGAGTCAGAGTTTAAAAGCAGAAGAAAAGTCAATCTATTGGCATGCCCTTCAGTGGTGCCTAAAATGCACCCACTCCTTGTGATAACTTATCTGTGAGTCATCACTTGTTTGTTTTTAAGGCTACTGCCCCACTCCCCAGCTGCTGTGAAAATAAAAACATGTATTTCCTGGCAAACCCTGCATCTGGCCCTTTCCTGCCCTGGGTTAAGCACTCGCTCTGCAGGTCAGCGTAAATCAGAGCTGATCCCCCAAGCTCCCAAGGGCAGCCTAATGTGGGCGCTGACAGACTCAGGCAGCCCCTGACCTTCCCCCAGTCTCTTACTCTCCAAATCCCAAAAATAGGGAAACGGTGAAATATTTCAACAGTTGCTTTGGCACAAACTTTCAGAGAATCTGCATCCACCCCAAATCACTCGCTCAGCACTAAGAGCACAAACATACCCCAATTTCTCCTCCAGCAGCTATCACAAACCAGAGACAGGCCACTGTGAAGCATTTATCCAAAACAAATTTAGCAGGACGGTGGTGGGTGCCACCAGGGCATTTGACACAGAGTGACAGAAGAATAAGGAGAGGGCACAGAAGAAAAGTTGCTGCTACAGTCAAAAGACGACTCAGGTAAAGATGACATTAATAGGACAACATACATATTTAATACCTTGCATATCGTCCCCACCCATCTTAACACAGCAGCAGAGCAAACCAGCAAGGCTTTGTCATGCTGAAAGTGCAGGAACTTTGCCAGTTCCCCTCTCCCTTCCCCATGGAAAAGCCAAAGGCAGAGGACCGCAGCCTCAGCTTCAAAGAGCTAGAAATAAAGCAGGAACCATTACATAGCATCAATGCTGCCTCTTCCCACATATACATCTTGGCCTGGCAGAGCAGAGCGTATTCAACACGTGCCCACCCAGCACGGTTGTGTCTGGACCTGTGGCAGGTCCTGCTACGAGCGCCAGTACTTTCATCCCACAAACATGACACCCACATTTGCTCCACAGAGAAAGGAGTGACAGATTTTCACATCCCTGCAGAACAAAACACTGGGCTGGGCAGCGCTGATGACAGTTCAAGTGGCACTCCAAGGAAATCTGCACTGGGAGATTGTTTTGGCTGGAGACTAGACAGTAATCCTCTGCCGCCTCTTATAAAATGTAGATTAATCTGTTACAAGCAGAGGGACCATTAAATCCTGTAACTGCTCTGGCTGAATCCCCTGGTGTCCCACTGGGGAGTTAACATCACCCAGCCTGAAGGGTGCTGCTAAATTTACAGTGCTCCCTGGGTTTTCTCTTTGTGTTGCTGGGTTTTGTCTGTCTTGCTGTCCTCCATTCATCCTCCTAATGCAAGAGACCTGATAAAGTGACTTGCTTAACCAATAGGACTGCATTCTTATGCTGAAACAAAAATAACTGTATATAAAATGATGATGGAAAGGGAATATTTAAAAAATTAAAGCTTTTTTTAATAGCACTATAGCAATGTAGAGAATTTGCTACTTACGCAGATGCGCAATATACTGCAAATGTTTTTTTCATGTTGTGACAGCATTTTTTTGTCAAAGCTTAAGGAGTCACACCTTCATGATCCTAATGTTTAATTGATACCAGTGAGTCACCGCCCATGCTGTGAGTCACTGTGCTTTGCATCAAGATAGAGGACTATCTGAAACCTGAGACGCTTGGGAAGGCATCGGGCAAAAGGTAACGAGCCCAAAATGTAGCCATCCTGTATCTTCTTGACAAGCAGTGAATATCTGGACAGGGCTCATGCAGTGAGTCAGTATTTGCACTGAAGCGATAAAAGTCACAAATGTAAAGTCTGCTGCATGCTTGCTACTACAAACACAAGCTGTTTCAATTAAGTGCTCTGCCTCAAAAGCACTTGTCCTCAGGAGGCCATAATGGTGGCCGTGTCATCTAAGCACACTGACTATCTGCTGCAAAAAGGTCATAATAAGATGCCTACTAAGGATTTGGTTTCTTCTACCTTCATCCTGACTCATGGAAAAGTGCAAGGCAGACCCTTATGCCCTAAAAAGAGCAAAGAGACAGGAGGAGAGATGCTCTGGTCCAACATTTGCCCAGAGCCTGGCACAAAGTCCCTGCAAGAGGGGAGGTGGGCATACACCCTGTCCCCACACCGTGGGTTCACAGTCTGTATCCAGTGACCAATGCCCAGGTTGCTGCTGAAAGAAAGCAGAGCCTTCCCCAAACAGTCTGCAGGTGGATTTAGCTTTGCTCTGACTGCTCTCTGCATTGGTTTCACCACAAGGAGACCAGAGGGTCATCAGAGCTGCTGCCTTTGAAGACCCTACACCAGGGATGAAGCTGCAACCTTGGTCCTTCCCCAGCCAGGCAGCAGCTGGCTGCTCTGTTGGCCTTCGCAGACTCTGTCCTGAGTAATGTGACATGCCCCACACATCATACATGGCCTCTCAAAACCTAGAGAAAAAGTTCCACTGTGGGATCCGCAGCCTTTACATATCACATATGTCACAAGTTACTGCAGCAGCCTCAAATCCCTCCTGGGGAAAAGCCACATTCTCCCTGCACATCAGATGGTGATTTCAGGACCAGTAAATGAAAATAAGAACCTATAATTTGTCACCGAGGTCCGTGAGTGTTGGGTCTCATCATTCTTTGTTCCTCTTCTTCCTGTTTTATCTTTTTATGACTAAACCCTGTCAATTTTCCCTGCACAGCACTAGAATCAATCTTCTATATAAATACCTCATCTAG